GTCTTCGACCTGAAAAATCAGGGGTTAGGATTTGCACCCGGTCGAAAGAAACCTTGCTATCGCAAGAGTAACTCCAGCTAGCTTCGCTAGCTTTCGTGATTTGGGCACATACAGTAGGTGCGATTCAACTCACGTCCACGATGAAATCGCCCTTTGCCAACCCTTCCAACCGAGCTTGGCCTCTCTATCGTTTCTCTGGGAGCGTCGGCCATGCGTGTCCGCAAGGCAGCGCGTGCCAAGTCGCGACCTGCATCAAGCTGGAACCACTCTGCCTGCCTGCGGCATTCCAGAGGAACCTCAACAGTCTGGAGAGAGTCTACGTCTGAGTGGTCTGATTGCCATATATGGATCAAAACTCGCGCTGACTTTATATAGTCAGTTTATGTCCGCCTCGTGGCCACAGGGCAAAGACCCCACCTGCAAGGCACAGGAAGGAACAACCAAAACCGGTCCCGCACTGAATGGAGAATTCCGAAAAGTCAGGAGGCAAGAAAGTATGGCAGCAAAGTAGTTGTCAAAGCATAGCTTTCAAACTATTTTCGTCTATTTTCAAGTCCTACTGAATCCGACTCTCCAAGAAAAGCAACCTTGTAAACACACCACCTCAAAAGGTCAGAGAAAGCATCTTTTACTCGCAGAATATCGGACACTCGCCATTGAAACAAACTATCACCCTGATCATGGATGTTGGATGTTGTAAAACTGAAACAGTGTTGAACATCACATCGAAGGGCTATTGGTCTCCCGGGTCCTTTGGTGGTTGGAAATTTGGTATCCGATATCCGCCCAAGAAGTGTACCTAATACTCTTGAAGAAGTCCTTGCAGAGAAACCGTACTTTTTGGCTGAAGATCTACACAAATTCAGGAGTTATCTTGTCGCTAGAAAGATGGTCAACGTGCCCTACATGATCTTCTAGCTTTGGTCAAATGCGCAGAGAAAAGCTCAAAAGTGTTCGCTAAATGCACAAGCTGATCAATATACAAATGGACAAAACTCATTCCAAACACTGTTTGCTGGTTTAGTGGTTCCCAAGGATGGGAAGTGAGGCTGTCTGACGCACCCTCACCCATTCTCACACAAACCAAGCCTGATCCGAGCAGCCAGAGTGTGACCATGCCAAGATTGTGTCTCCTGCTGGTCCGGCAAGACATACCAGGATTAAAGTCGTGGAGATTAGGGTCGCATTCCTTGGAGTGATTGGTTCAAGAGTCCAAATCGAGCGTGGAACCCTTGGGTTCGTTGTTTAGAATAAACCTCTTGCGGCCTTTGGCGTCGTCTTGGAAGTGCCCCATTCTGCGACATGGCTCATCTAGATGCTACACGCCTCGTGCAGCTTCTGCAGGGACCGTGCTTTTTGGCCATGATTTGATGAGATCTTAAGGATCTTACCTGGAGGTACGAGTAGTGGATATACTTGGCCTGTGCATGAGGATCATGGGTCCTCGGAGGGTGGAGTAGCCCAAATATGTATAAATATGTCATATTGGAGATGGTTGGATGATGCAATGGAGATCGATTGAGTGAGATCGGTACGAGTAGCACTCTTCACAACCTCACTTCTCTCATTTTGAGATTCGAAATACGAGCATCCAAGCACCTAAAGCTGCGGAAATAAACAAAATCAGAACAGCATGTCAGCTTGCAACTCGCCAACCTGAGGGGGTCTCATGCTCAAGCTTCCTGTTTTTGATGCGTGGTGACATGTTGTGAATGGCAACAAGAAACAGAACCGGGGACTGGCAGCGCTGGCAATTCTAGCTGGATTCTAGCTGAAAGGGAGGGATGGAAGACTTCAATCCATGCTTTACATGCCATGAAGAAAACTTCCAGGCACAATTTGACGGTTCAAATCAACAAACTCTGCTGGTGGTTGGGCTGGGACGGCCTCCTTCTCTTCTTCCTCCTGCCAAGTCAAGGATGTTTCTTCATCCCTACAACCAAAGTAAACTAGTTACTACTGTACATCGATTTACCTGGTTGGCGTACGGCTTCTCGATCAAAAATGAATGAAAAGTGCCAAGCTCGGTCCCAAAGAAGTACGAGTAGTGTAGACTTAGAGATGGGACAAACGGGTAAGCAGCGACCTGACTTGGACGTTCACACGTCCTCCAGCACTTGCAACACCAACCAACCATCCCGCCTGCGAGAGAGCCAGCATCAAGGCCCGCTCGATCCGGTCACCCAGCTCAGGATGGACCTCCCAACAGAAGCACTCTTAGAAGATATTGAGGCACCTCCATGATCCACATGATCCATGAAGCAATAATACTGAATAATTCCTGTCTTCAGGGATTCAGGCATTTGCTTCAGGCATTTGACGCTGCATTTTGCATACCTCTTTCCGGCCAAAGCTGCCTCGTAGTCCTCTGTTGTCCGCTCAGGCCTGAGCGTTTTTTGGCATAAAATTATCAGTTGTCGTGTGCTTCCCTCTGGAACGTCGAGGCGTGGTCGTGGTGCCACGTGGCGGGGCGGCGATGGTGGCGATGATGGGCAAAACTGCACAAGCCGTTGTGTAGTAGTGTAGCCTTGTACGTGCCAGGCTTGTCTTGCCTCATCTGGGCTCTGGCTTGGAATACAAGAGTCTATTTGTGACTGTGCCAACTGCTAGCTGGCATTGCTTTGTTCTTTCCTTCCGATCTCCAACAACTTTGGAGTAGATCAGTCATGAACGTTGTAGTCAAGTGCACACAGTGTTATAGCAGCCCGAGTCCATCTTTGTGGCCCACGGCACAAGTGTCGAGGCTGCTCAGCGCGCCGAGGGATTTCCAACAGTTGTGTCATGTTTGACTGTTTGCACAGTTGTGTCTTGTTTCTTTCTAGGGCTCCATCCCCGGCCTCTGATTTGGGTTGCAGACAAAACAGGACGAAAAAGGAGATATGAGACCATGCAAAGAAACAAACACAAACACTCAATAGACGAAGTGGATGACGAAGACGGCACAAAGATCACAGAGAAACCAAAAAAGCATCCTGAACACAAAGGGAAAGACATAGACACTCAAAGAAACAGAATACACCAATGCAGGCAATCAACCCACAAGATCACCTGGAAGCTTATCATATGAGTGCGAGATTCTGAGAACCTGAAAAACATCGTGAGCAAGCTGGATTACAGCTGGGTGCAGCAATGTCCAGCGTAGTGATCAGCAATCAAGTGTTTGTCGATCGCAACTTTTCCTGAGATGCCCTGGCAAGTCTAAGTCAGTGATGAGGATGGAGTCGTACATGTACCTGCAAGGCTTCCAGTGCAAAAACATGTGATGTGCTATGTGCAGCACCTAGGTACTTAGCCCAGCCAGCCCCACCTTGGGTTTGCATCACCCATGGCTCGGTTGAGACGTGTGAACTCCGAGGTGGGCCTGAGATAACAGGGCTCAGTGGGAGTTTGAGAAGGGAGGCCGAGAGAGAGGCCGAGAGGATCTGAGATCTGAATGCTTGGCTGTTTCAGATCTGTTCAATCTTGCGTCCAAGCCCCAGACCTGGGCAGCCCCAGAACAGATCCTGGTCGCTGCGGCCGATTCTCCTGACGCTCTCGGACAGAGCCAGTCAGTTGCTGGTAACTGGGTAACTGCACGCATTGCGAACACATTGACTCCATGAAGTCAGTCGTCTCGATCCCGTCCTTGTCCAATGCAATAGGAGCAATCTCAGAGTCGCGGGCATCAACCCAGGGTAAGCATGCTATGAGGGTGTGTGTTGGCACTAGTGCAGCGGTCATTTGGGGACGGGTGTCCTTTTGACAACGCGTACAAGTGGGAGCAACAAGGACTGATCACAGAGTGCAGCTGCGGTTTGAATGGATCCCCTGTGGCATTGTAAGCAAACAGAATTTTCAGGTCGGAGCTCTCCATTCGTCTTCTTCAGGATCCCAAACAGCACGCTCTTGAGTGTTCTGGATCTCCTGCGGGCATGGAACCATCCAACACTGTCTTGGATATTTGTTCAATTTGGCCTGAAATCAAGCCCAAAGACTTAGCAACGATCGCAGCAGGCTGCTGTCAGCTCTCCTTCATGGGCACGAACGACTCCATGATCAAGGACTTAGCGAGACAGGCAGAATATGCCATTTCAGACTGAATATTAGAAGGAAGGTAAGAGTAAGAGCATAATTGGACAAACTTACCTATCAATCCACTGGCAAATTTGCATTTGGCTTCAGGGGTGGCCGAACCCTGAGTACCAACACAGGCAATTAGCCGGGACACAGGAAACCAATCATCCCCAGCTCGCCACTTTCAACGGCTGAGGACACCTACTTTCAGCTTCAATGTTTGCCGGAGATCACGAATCATCGAGAGCATCTCCTTCACAAAATCGCTCATGCCCACATGCCGAGATGTCTCTGTAACCCTCAGCCCCATGAACATCCTGGAAGAATGCTGGTCACCACCATGCACCTGCACCCCAGTCGAAAGATTAACGAAACCCCAAGTTGCGATGAAGGTGGCTAGCGGGAAGTTTTGAAGCTCCATGCGGTTGACATATTTCATCAAACAAAGCAGAGATTTGGTCAGCCAAACCCTTCATTGCAGCACTGCGCAGAGTGACGGTGCATGACTAACCGTGAATCATGCGGATGATGCCGGTGCTCATTCTGGGAAGGAGGGTCACCTGCTCCGGTCCTCGCGTTCCTGCTGATTGAAGTGCTGAATGTCCACCATCTCTTGCTGCGCTTTCTGATACCTGTGACTCATGTTAGTTCCTCATGTTAGCCTGTACTAAGCTCTCTAACTAACCGAAAAAGGGTGGACTGTAGAAAACAAAGTCCAATCGGCGCACTTGTCCCAGAGCTTCTGCAGCTTCGTGGTGAGCTTCTGCACCTGCAAGTGGAGTGCACAACCAGTCCACCAAGAAGCTTGCAATGAGCATATCCGCAAGGCACGATGGGTGTCCTCGTCCGGGGGTGCATTTACAAAGCTTCTACGAGTCATTGATATTGTGGGGGCCCTTGAGTACTCACGCTGCGAATGCTGTAAGCCTCAGTGTGACAGACATGTCCACCAATGTATGCATGAGGCCGTACAACCTTCTCACTTCACAATATTTGTCTCTGTAGGGTGGCCCATGCTGCCTGCTCCTCTTGCGAAGCACATTTCTCTTCCAGCTCCATGTTTTCTTGCCTCTGCTGCTCCTTGCAATGCCAGCACAGCTCCTCTGATGTACCAGAATACCAACCAAGGCCCTTGTTTGGGTGTATCGCATCGGGTTGAGGACAGGAGATTGCTGAGTGGGTACCATTCCTTCCCACCCCTACCCCTGTGAGAAGGACCACTCTGTTGCCAGTTCTGCACCAAAATTGTATGACATAGAAACGACTTTTATCATATCCATGTTCTGCGGGTAGACATGTGCTCATCAAAAATATATATATGATAAAATATGATAAAATCATCAAGTTTCTCTTGAAGAGAAGGAACTTCTCTGATAACATTCCTCATTGCAACTTCGGTGGCCTCTTGGCGCTTCAGCTCTTCTTCTCTTTCCTGCACTCATCACTAAGCCCCCTTTCTCGTATCTGAACGCCAACGAGATCGTGAGTGGCACTACAAATGTTCGCGCTCTTTGATTTGTTTAGTATGCACCTTTTGGACTTTAACTCATTGCTGCGAACATGGCCTGCTGCTTCCGGAGTCGTCTCTGTTGCCTGAAGGCAGCTCATTCTGAGTCAGCTTCTTACACCACTTGAGCGGAAATACAATACCCCATAATGCCCGATACAAATACCTCAAACAGGCAGACCTGTTACAGGCTTGCTTCAACTGGGGCTTTGCTCAGCGTCGTTTCTAGTCTCAATTGTTTCCAAAAGTAAGGCCATTCCTGGTGAACTCAGTCAACTCGTGCGATATGGCCCTCTGAGGCGTCGACCTCTTCAGGTCCTCTTCTTGCTGGATGGCTTGCTCCATGATCTGCCAAAGGGTGGCGATGACAACCGAAGTGGATTGCTACAAAATTCCGAAGGTGAATTTAAAGAGTTGCAGTAGAGGAAATACGGTAGCTTCAAAACCGAGAAACGATTGGTGCTTATCAGGCTTCTCTTCAGGTCTGTTTTCAACAACACAATCCGTATCAAAAGCTTGTATGACTCTGCTGGGTGCCTTTATTTCCAGCATCAACCTGTGTCAACTCTTTCCTCGTTGGAGAAAGGCACTAACAAGGGAACCACGATGCAATTGAAGACTCCGAACAAACCAATCTTTATCACTTTCCCAAATGCCAATACTTTCTCGTCAACAAAATCTATTTGGGCAGCTCCTCATCTCGATCATGCCTGTTTCCCCTGAACCATCTTCATCTCCATCTGCGACAACCTCGCCTTCGGTACCAGGACGTGAGAACATTTAGGACTGAAGGGATTCGATGCTTTGGTTAAATGTACAACCAGCGTAATTACTTGAAAAATCAAGAAAGCATGACCAACCATGGTCAATCCTTTACTGTCTACTGTTGTATAATTGTCAAAACTTTGTGGCCTGACACAGAAAGCTTTACTGTAAAATGTCTGGTTTTGTCGACGAAGCGTAGCTGCAGGATCTCACCACTCCACCTGGAGCTCAAGTTTGTGCTGTTGCTCCTGGAACCGAAGCAAAAGATAGTATACTCCAGTTACTCTAGTTGATAGGGAAATCCTGCGAAATCTAAATGATTCACTTGCCACAGGAGGCCGATCTCCATTGCGAGCCGTCAGAAGCCAGGCCAAGCTGCATGCACAAGTAGCAAGTGTTAACATGTTCTTGTCTGCCTGGATTGCAGTTATATATCCAATTCACCTATGCCAACAACTGTGGATCAAACAGTGATGACAAAAAATGCCCTCGGAAACTTGTCCAAAACAACCAAATTTGGATCACATCGTGGCTTCGCGAGGCAAGCGGGACGATGTGCTAGAGCTTCTTGCAATATTACATCGTAATCGTCGACCTTTGAACACAAAAGAGCGGATTGACCAGTGAAAGCATGAACATGTTGTATGAGATTGCATCAGTATTTCCAGGTGCGTTCAGCTCCTCGATGTTTTGCATATTGACCATCGGAAAATGATAGATTTTATAGACTGCCCTGTTCCGAATGGTCCTGCATTGAAATTTGTTCCTGCTCATCAATCTGGGCCATCAAGCGCAACCTGGAAAGTCTGGAACGATGGAACAGTGGAGATCGTGAGCCACCGTTCCACCTCGTGAAAAAATTGAAAAAGGTTCCGCGAGGTTCTACTTCACGACGCATACCCTGGCGGATCAACCTGCCTCTCTGACTCAGCCACATCCCGCAAAGCCTCAACCTGAGTCACAGAATCACGGAATCGCACCTGGTCAAAGCCTTGAATTGTAGCAACCAAGTATGCAAAGAAAAAGACCGTGGTATCAGTCTGATTGTATAGTCACGGGTCGTTTTTGAAAATGAGTGTGTAGTCATGGGAACTGTGTGTGTGTGGGCGGAGCAAGTATTCTTGTATCTGAAGATACCCGTTACAAGCAAATCGGATGGTTGCCTAAAGCCTTCCGACAGTGACCCTCCGGTTCCGATGGAATTGGAACCAGTTTAGACTCCTGATCTTGTAGGTAGGTTGCCCTAATACGCCCTAATAGCTGTGATGGATGTTGCAAGGCTCACTAGTAGAAAGAAAATGTCTCATGACATTGGGTACACGGTATGTACATCGTATGTATATAATTACAGAGTAGGTATCCGTTTGTACATGGCATGTATGGTCGTGCAAATGTCATGAAAATGTCATGTATTTATGGTCCGTCGCCCGGCCTCACGACGCTTTGCCTCGGCCTTCTGCCGCGCTTCCTCGTTCTGGAGCCGCAGCTGGGCCTACAGCCGGTCGGCCCTAGTCCAGTGGACATCTTAAAAAGAGAAGGAGAACAGTTGTAGTCGTAGTTGACCGATTAGCCAGCAAAAAATGAGTAATATATATATATATATGTATATATATATATATGTGTGCCTTCTACCGCTTCAACAAGAATGCCCCCTTGGAGCCATTGTCAAAACTTGCCATTCCCCACCATGATTGTAAAGCTGTTCATCGGTTTATTCACAACAAATGAATCTAATGTGCCATTTTTTACATACATTTACAGTACTAGGTTGGAGGCCATCGCTATTAGGGCGGAGGACATCGCTATTAATTAGGTTGGAGGTAATGCGCTACTAGGTGGAGGCCATCCATTTTGGACGAATTGCCTCACATTGGCAAAGCTTCGACCTGCTTGACCTCCGCAAGGGGCCTCCATCGCGGCCACCTCCTCTGGGCTTGGCCCTTGCTCCACGATGACCTTGCCGCTCAACGAGATAGTGCCATCATTGAATTGCAAGGCTAAGACAGGATACGAAAGGTCGGTGTTTCTGAAAACAACATGATGTGCTGGTATAGCGCGTCACATATCCTATCAGACCTATCATTTGCGTTGCCCGTCCATGCTTCACCAGTCTCCAGTTTTGCCCCTTGCTACTGGCCGCAGCGTCTTCCCAACGATTGTGTGCGGCACCTCCTTCTCCACAGTTCTCTCGACGATCTTCTCTACGTACCTATGGGGCGACACACGACATGATCCATCAAATGATCTCGTTCACTCTTTTCCCTTGGTGTTGACATCTTGGATTGCACAACTATATCCTGACCATCAACCAGAGCTGGCGACCTGATGATCTTTCTGAGACTCAGGCTCTACTTGCTTCTCTACCCGCGGTACAAGCGGATTGATGGGCATCTGAGCGGAGCAAGGATGTCAGGTTGTTTGCATGCCACCCAGTGGAGGGAGGACGCATCTCATATCTTCACAACGTGCTGGAGGTCGAGGGCGGCATTCTCAAACACTCCAGATTTCCGGCGTGGTTCTTGAATGTTCGACTGAAAGCAAATGAACCCATATAGGTCGATGGTTAAGTTTCCTAAAAATCTAAGAACCAAATCATTCCGGGCGCTTCTTCAAGGAAGCGTGAGCTATCCTTCGTCCAGTTACTAGAAGTACTAGTCGCTAGGGCCGCTAGGAGCGAACGTTGTCCCTTACTTATATAATCTTATATAAGTATGTAAGTAAGGCGTCTACTTAATTGAGTAAAAAGGCAAGGGGGCCCCATGATGGCCCCATGGGCTTCCAAAACTAGTTATACCAGCATAGACCCCTAAACAGCTTAAGGCTTAGCCAGCAAGAATTACTGTTGTCGTGGCTCCTCGGAAAGCAACGTAAACAGCCCGACAGCAGCAGGACAACAGAAAGACCAGAGGAGGACATAAGGAGGACAACAAAGTACAAAAGGATGAGGGAAGGAAAACAACACGGACGCACCAAGAGGACAAAAGAAGGACAAGCTGTGACCTGACTACGCCAAAAGGACAACAGGGCAACAGGAGAGCGTGCCAAGAGGAGACCAAGAGAAGACCAAGAGGAGAAGAGGAAGAGAAGACAAGAGAAACGCAAGACGATGATGAAAAGAGTACGACTGGAGATAGGCTGGCAGCCGCGGCCAATGAAGACCCGAAGAAGGACAACAAGAGGGCAATAGAAGAACATGAGGAGGACGGGAGCGAAAAGATTGCAAGAAGAGGAGAAGAGGAGGGCGTCCGGATAGTTCTCGCCAGCGCGGCCAACTCTTTTTCCAGCACGGCCAATGGACAACTGCAAGCACGGAGTGCCAAGAAGACGACAAGAGGTTTGCATTTGTTTCCTTCGCGGCATCGTGTCGACACCAGCGGGGCAACGTCACAGTTGGACGGCCATTCGGCTGGGGCCCGCTCCTTCGTTGGAGCATTCAAAAAGAAAAAGTCACTCTGGCCAGCTCTCATTCAGCTGTGCCAGAAACTCCACAAGTCCCTGGTCCAAGGCATCGGATTCAACCGGTGCATCCCAGGCTTCAACTCGCTCACTCACTGGCCTCATTCCGCGCTGCATCAGCTCAGCACCAAAGGCCGCTGCGCCTTCGCCGGCCGCCTCATACAGCGCTGGATCCGCAGCCTCCTGCAGGGCCTCTTGAAGAGCCGCGTTGCCCATTGAATGCGCTCACTGGGTTTCAGGCGCAGGTCGAAGATCGAGCCCATCGGCTCCAGCTCGCGGGAGTGGTAGGCGATGGCCAGGGCAAGGGCCGCAAGCAGCTGACATCGATGCGAGCGCAGCTTCACAGGACCTCTTGCCAGGTTCAGGGAACCTGCGCACCAAACACATGGGAGGACTTCCTCAGTCCATTGCGGCCAGGTCTCTCGCATATGTTGCATGCCGAGTTGCCAGAGGTCCCAGTGACTCGCCTGCGCATGCTCCTCGAAGAGCTGGATGTTCATGAGAGGAATGCCACACACAGGACATGTCGTACGCAGGAGGCGTGACAGAAGTGAGTCCTTGGCTTGGAAGACCCCATATAGTTGGCTTGAGCATAGCACCTGACAGCATGCGTGATGAGTTCGTCCTTCATGAGTGCTGAGGGTGTGGCAGCTGGCGGGCAAGTGAGATACTGATTGGCAGCAACAAGCAAAACCAAGAGAACATCTTGCTCCGGTTCCTGGTGCAGTGCATGGTCCAAACGGGCCTCCCAATTGTCCTGAAAGGAAATCCAGCCATTGTGGCCCTGACAACATGCTCTGTAGTGGCCAGGAATTGGTGAGGAGCTTGACAGGTCCTGTTGACGGCACAGTCTATGGCTGACCAAGGTCAACAGGCCACCATGATCCCTACGGTCCTCCGTGCCTGCCGAGATGGCCCAATACCCAAACGTGCTCCAGTCAAGGGTCGTGGACCAGCGGGTACCCTGAATGCAGGCAATGTCGATGGCATGCTGACTCAGGAACTGCATGAGCTCTTGCCAAGTGGCGCTGGTGAGTCCTCCGGCGTTCCAGGAAAGAAACGAGCAGCGTTGGCCTCCCCTTTGCATAGGTGGTCCCTGTGCTCGTTGCAGGAATGGGAATGTCGTCCAGGTCGAGGATTGGTGGGAGCTACAGGTCGGTCTGGAGGTCGACTGCACCGCAGGAGTGGTGGACATACCTTGCGGCAGCTGGTTGATCATCAGTAGTCGTCCTTTGTACGTCGTGCAGCCATCACGCTGCAGGCGGTGGACAGCACGCCTATAGCTCTTCTTTGTGCTCCAGGTTGAGCTGAGCCCTTTTGCCCCGATGGGGCCTTCTGGTTGCCCTATCCCACTATACTTTTGGAGTCAGCTAGTGGGTGCCATCCCTATCAGTTCTCCTCCTCCCTTCGTCGTGGGCCGAAGGGAACCCTCACCTCTTGTGGACCAAAAACGTTGCAATCTGTCTCCAAGGCTCGTCGGTCCACGCCCGGACTTGGGACCGGACTGCTCAAGGCTCGGCCAGGTAGCTATCCACAGCAGCAGGAGGGGCACCCACCGCTGGCATGAACAGCTCCGAGCGTCACGTGGTGGAAGCGGAACCCCGCTCCCGGGGGGCAGGCATTTCTGGCCTACTTGAGCAGAGAGGCTTATACGACAAGAGGAGGACACAGGGTTGGCCAGTGTGGCCAGAGGACAATAGCAGGACAACTGCGAGCACCAGGAGGACAAGAGGAGGACACAGGGTTGGCCAGCGACAGGAGGACAAGAGGAGGACAAGACCCGGACACAGCGTTCAGCGGCACGGAGAGAACCCCAACAGTAAACTGTTTGAGGCAACTCTACCAAGTTTGGCAAAAACTCAGCATCTTGTCCCTTGAACCCAGCACCGAGGCTGGGACGCCATGCTCGTCCACCTCTCCACCGGCCGCTTCAAGCTCCGCCTTCGAGAATGCTCAACGTCTCAGTAGAGTGGCAACAGCCTTTGGCCCAAAGCCAATGCCCCGGTCACAGGACCTCCCAGTGTCTTAAGACAGGTCAGCAGATCATCCCACCTTGAGTCTCATAATCTCCTCTTGGTACTCCCGGATCATCGCGTCCTCGCACGACAAGCTGAAGATTGCAAACTGTGGCCCTAAACTTATGATACCAATCAACTTTGCACAAACGGATCTCGGTTGGCCACCAGCTCAGAAAACAGTTTGGATTTTCTCTCGGCCGCATCCGCGCCTTTGGATCTTCGTTGATTCGGGGCTTGTTTTTAATGCTCTTTGCACGGTATGCGTACCTGGCAGTGCTCTTGTTTTTCCGACCCGGCCAGTGCTCGAACTGGGAATGTCACTCACTTTATATTTACTTCCTCTGACTAGTAATTGGTATGTCCGCCCATTCGCCCAGGCAAAACACTTTGACTGCGCAATTCCGCGCCGCAAAGTTGATGCGGTCTCATCATAATTGTAATCTGCAGGCCTTGGATCATGTCAGGTGGGGAAACCCAGGGCAGCCTAGAGGAAATCGAAGCTGGTGCATGCGGATCAATCAGCGGTAGTTCCATGTGCTGGCTTTGAACCAGTTTTTCAGTGTGTTGAACACCAAATCATCCAAGTCAAAACCTTGTCTGCACCTACTGAGGCTCCTTTCCCGACATTGGCCACCATAACGGTCTTTGTGTTGCCGCCCAAGGAGTCCTTCACACCACCAACATGATGATTCGCACAGCAGCTTTGAAAAAAATAAAACGACACCCTTCGATTTCTGTGGAAACGCCAAAAACCATTTAAGCTACTCAGCCTTTTCTTTTATGGTAACTGGCACGTCTACCACCCCGACTGCATCTAAGAAGCACAACCTCTCATGCTACCCTGCTAGCTCCTGCAACAACCGGGTGAGCTTGGAGTCTCGGTATGGGATGTGGGATGACTTCCTGAAGGCAGTCGGGGCTGGGCCGAGACGTCCAACACATTGGCAACTATGAGACCTCCGCACCTAGCATTGAAGACAGCTACATTGACGAAGCAGCATGTTCCCTATTAGGTTGGCGGCCATTGCTTCCAGGTTGGAGGCCATTGCTCTTAGGTGGAGGCCATCCCTACCGCTATTAGGTTGGAGGCCATCGCTTTAAAGTTTTGCCTCAAGTAGTCGAAGTAAGTCCAGCAAGTCGATAAGCCCGAAGACGGGGATCTTTCTTCAGCCAGACAAGGATTCCTTTCGCCTTCCCCCCATTTCATGCCAGACTGTACAGCGATGCCAAGTCACCCATCCACAAGCGCAGAGATCACATTCCTGGAGTGGCTCAATCACTACACGCAGCCACAAAACTCTTTGGGGACAAAGCAAGAGTTGCCAAGACCACCAACATGGTTCCAAGTTGCCAGAACAGAATATATAATACTGTAGAGGCTCGAACCTCTTTTTCCACCATGCAAAACCATTGCCGGGTAAGCAGGCCGGTCCCCAGTGCAGACAAGGAGAGGTTGATCTTTGTTGCCTCTTTGAGGCGTTCGCCCGTGGCACCTGGGTCAGTCATGCGAAAGTTCAAAGCACTGATTCTTGGTGGGAGGCCGTTGACTGTGACGGCAGCTTCCGAGTTTTGTTCCTATAAACTAGAGTGATTGAAGAGAATCGAATCAACGGCGTCTTGATCTTGTAAAAAATATAACGTATAACAAGTTGCATATTTGTACATATAACAGAGTAACAAAACGCAACAGTTGCATATCAATTATTGACGAAGAAACTCGCTAAGCATCACATCTAAGAGCCTAGTGTATGAATTCATTGAGGGAAAGAGATTGACTGGTGCTCCTTTCCTGAATGGCTGGCCTGTCTTGCTCTGTCGCTCAGAGCCCGCCAAGTCCACCATGTTCAGCTTCCCCACCTAGCTGCTACCAGCCCGCTGGGTGGTCAAAGGATGTTGAAGCTGTAGAGTGCAATCGACTGCCGTGGGCGAATCTATACATGAGTGACACTGCAGTTTGGCCCCTGTCATTCATGCTTCTGCTTTCTCTTCCCTCAACGCAGCAGGCTTCTCCCTATCAAAAGTGATTTGACTCCTTTGCAAGAGAGCCATGTATGACCATGTCCCACTCTTTCCCTCCCCGTTTGGCACCCGAATGTGGCCAGCACCATCCGTGCCAAGACCGCATTGCTCCACCTACACTCGACAAAGTGCTTGAACACATTGAAATTGCAGAATACTATCTCATGCACCCATGCCAATGATTTATATATAGCCTAAATAGAAACTTTTCCACACAAACAATTTGACAAGTGAGTCCAAGCCATTTATTTGGAAACTGAAAAGTCCCCTCAGCCAACCACCAAAAAGTAAAAGCTCAACTACTATGTAAATCAACCGTCTGTGTGCGTCCCTGTGCAGGCAAGCATTCTGCAGTGGCAGGCAAATTCGTCACAAATATCAGGACCAAACTCTGCCGACAAAATGATCCCCACCGTGATCATGAAGATGGAGTGCGATCTCGAGGACCTCACTCAAACACGCGCGCGCCCACACAGACAGCGACGCAAGCTAAGAGCTCCTACAAACACCCTGAGTTGCATTCACTGCAAAACTCCTGCCTTTGATAGTTATATATTCAGAACTTTGCTCCAGCAGAACGAAACCATCGTTAACAGCTACGTCTGCGTGTTTATGGCACCCAAGGTCCCAGCGTCTCATTCATCGCAGTGGCCTGAAAAGGAGTAGGCTCCCATTGCTGTCCGTTGGGGGTTGTTTCTATTCTTGAGAGCCACATTCGGGAAGTAGAAAGTGAGGCTACGAGCTGATGATCTTGCTTGCTTTTAAGGATGTGCTGGTGTGTGAACAGTGTCCAGGACTCCAGCACCAATCGCTCGATTGGCCAAGCCCGCGTTGAGGATCTGGCAAACAGTGGTCACGTGGAAACAAGGAGGGGGGAAGCAAGCTGCACGGTCCCATGCCTGTGGCTCCTGTCATTGCCCCTAGTGCCCCTGATGAAAACCTCCAGAATAGGTTTGACCGGTTTGACCGAAGGGCTGAACAGTTTTATGTATATTTAAAACTAATAGCTTCTTGTTACTACTAGTAAGGCACCTGTTGCTACTAGCGTGGCACTTGTTCCTAGTAGCTTCTTGTATATACACAGTATGTCCTAGCTAATCCTCCCAGTGCAAAGTAAAGGCCCGAGTCAGAATGGAGCTATCGCGCTTGTTTTTCGGCGTGATCACTGGTCGGCCACAAATGCAATGCTCAGCTCCGTACCTGTTTGAAGGATCACAAGCGGACTTGGCCAGGTCTGGATCATGGGTATTGGACAACCATGCGTTCGGCTCTCCAAAGATGCAGGGGGCACATTGACAGGCACACTCCATCCAGCTGATACCCACACCTTCCGTCTGTGCTGAACGGATAGCATCTGGATCAACAAGAAGAAGCAGGCAAAACGCCTTGTTAAGGGGAATCTTGTTGGTCCACACTGGTCCAGCTTTTCTAACGTGACTCCTTCGCCACACAAGACTTAACCTGCGCCGTGATGGCCAAAAATATGCCAAGAAAATCTTCCAGGCCCTGCCCCCCGTCCCACTCTCGTGCAAGGCTTGGCTTCGGCGGCCAGAACTCCTATCAGATGAATGGAGGAAGTGAAAAGGCAGCCAATGATCAAAAGATTCAGCTGAGTTTCTGCAAGGGAACGAGGAACGCGTCTGCGTCAAGAACCAGCCTGCTTTCATCTCTTTACGAAGAAAACGACGTGGGAAATTATCAATTCAGGGATGCTTGGGGATTGTATATTACCAACAATGTGTGAGAACATGTCCCACCAAGTGTCGCTCCTTCTTTGTGAGTTTCTCGCGTAGCGCTTCTAACTCCTGGTAGGGATCAAGAAATGGTTGAGGTCAAACCTCTAGCTACAAGTCTTGCAAGAGAGGCCTTCAAATGTCACCCTCCAGGCAGAGTGTGTCACACGTCAGTTTTGAACCAAATGATTCATTGAATATATCAACAGAAGGCCTAATAGTATAGGTATCTTGATACATAGGGGAAAATGAGATTCCTTCCACACAGGCAAATGTGAGGGAAAGGAAACCTCCACATTGGCTGGTGAAACAACTGTCAACGAACCCTACCTCGCTGCATCAGCGACTCAAGCATGTGAACGCCATTCAGGCCAGCCCTCCATGTTTTTCCAGGCCTCTGAGCACAAACTATTGACGTGGCATTCCCAGTTACAAGAGACCCATAAATCGATGATGCATGCTATGCAAAGGAGGCTTATTCATATTTCCACGAATGGACTCGGTGAGGAAAAGCCAAAAGTAGATGAAGAATGCGTTGTGCGGTTCGTTGCGCAGCTGGTTGAGCAGCGTGAGGTGCTCTTCATGTTGAAGATGTCTCTATATGCTCCTTGGAGCTGGAAGAGGCTGCTAGTCGATAGAGCTCGATGGAGACTTTCCTCATATCATCGGTTAGTTGGCTCAGCTCAGCGACTATCACAGCCAATGCAACCAATCACAAAAATGCTTTGCAATGCGGTGGTGCTTTCCAGCACCATAACCAAATCACAAAGGAAGATAGGACGTTCATCTTTGCTTGCGGTTGGTTGTCATAAGCTGCTTGTAGTCATACACCGATACGCCCAGTTTGCTCTCAAACAATTATCAATTATTGCAAAAAACAATGCACCGCCTGACCAATGCGATTCGTGGATATTCGTGGATACTTTCACTGACTTCCACCATACCAACATTCCGCAACCATTCTGCATCCCACACCCCTGGCCCGGCACCGAGAATCGCGTCCCAGCTGGGGTCGTGCACAGCAGAGTCCTTAGCCAAGCTGAGAAAGCGGCCCTGCTTTCTTCAGGAAAGCTCGCAGTATTCACGAGCCAACAACGGATCAAAATCTTGGATACTTTGTTATATTTTTTTTCAAAATCTTCCCAAGTTTCATGCGGTTTATAACCATTTGTGCCTTAAGAAACAACCGCTTACATTCATCTCCAGTGTTGGCTACAGCTGATCCTTCGCGACCAAGATGCCGGCTCAAGCCCCAGCAGCACCCTCGCCTAGGAGAATCAACGGAGGATGGAAGACACTTGTAATCACAAAGAGTCCCATTTACCTAATAGCTTCTTGTTACTACTAGTAAGGCACTTGTTACTAGAAGCGATGCACTTGTTCCTAGTAGCTTCTTGTTCCTACTAGCACCCCAACCTTCTCGCTTTGCATCTGTTCAACCACCACCAAGCGCGTGCTACATTCTGACCATGCGAGAACCAGGCCGCCGATTCGGAGAGAGGGGGAACGAATTTCTTCCACAACGGCCCCAACGGCTCTATATTTCCATTCCCAGACACATATTGACGCTTACAATCCTATCTCCAAGACTGCTTCAACGTTCTTTATATGCGGCACTGCCCTTGCCTCGTGACGCAGGGAGAAAACCATCCCTTGGTCATTGGTGAAGACTTCTGAGAGATTCACTGTCCCAGTAAAGTCCTGCAGCTGGAGAACAGTCCTGCACCTTCACTTCGTGGTGCACACAACTTCGGATGTTCAACCCTGGCAAGTGCCCCACTTCAAGTTATGGACACTTGAGACCGTCAAAATAAACACAGTTTGCCCAAGGTATATATATATAATATATATTGCGCAACGTATTTAGCAACTCGGACTAAAACGATCGAATTGGCTCCTGGTTCTCTTTCAAATTCATCCAGTCGATGTCGCCTTGCGGCTCTTGACCAACTAAAATCGCCCTCCTTGCAACGTTGCGGTTGGTTCACGTGAGAGAGTCAACAGAAAACCCAACATAATCGAACCACTGAAAGAGTCAACAGCAGCTCTTCGGTGCAGAAATCTAGGCTCTAAAGGCCGGGGTCTCATGAGAGCGTGCAAAGATAGGCAAAGTATCAGGAGACCAGTTGTGATAAACTCTGTATCCTCGTATTTGTATCTAAGCCGACACTTTGGGATTTGGCCTTCACTCCATGTGCTTGGCAACAAGGCTCAAAATAGATACCACTGGTCCACAGGTTGCTCGTTTTCACCTCAAGAATTATTCAGCCCCAATCTACTGGGAACTGTGTAGCAAAACCACTACAGTGACGAAAACTACGTAACGTTTGGCATCCCTGGGATGTCTTCACCAAACTGCAAAGAAGCGGTACCTCCTACACTTTCACTCGCTCCCCATGTCTCTTGTCATTCTCACTTAATTACTCTGCATCTATATATATATAATATATATTTCTATCTCTCTCTCTCTCTCTCTCTGTCCCTCTGTTGCGCAGTCTCCTCGGTAGCAACTCCTGAAGCTCCCTCCGCGCTCGATCAAGGCTCAGGGCCTTTGTCTCAGAGAGATCGCCCTCCCTGAGCCCTGTGAAGGGCGTCAAGTAGCTGACTACCTCGTCAAGTGACAGGAGCTCTGCAACCAACAGTACTGCCAGGAAAGTGCTGTATGTCACTGTGCAGGCTTGCAACTGTTCTACTCAGAAATGTCCAACGAAGTCTGTAGCTTGCAAGGTCAGAGAAAGGAAGAACAACGAGACATGAGTGCCCCCCAAATCGTCGAAAAAGAAACGCTTATAGGCTTATACTTAAATTGTGCGAGACTCAGGACGTAATGACAATTAATTACAGGCGTACAGTGGCCAAGAAAATTGGTATGTTTGCAGTTTCAAACCTGCTCCAAGCCACTGGTTTGGATGGCTGGATCAAGGTCCTTTTCACCACCCTTCCATGACCATCCACCAACGCATAGGAGCAGGGCATTCGGTCACTCTTCTCATGCGTCTTGCCCACCGCCACACATTCCACATCTAGGGAGAAGACGTCCTGACAATCGCATGATATTCAGCCAGCCCACCATCAGACTTCCGGACAGCCAGCAACATATTGCAAAGACATGCTCTGTTCTTCGCCATGTTTCATGAAAACAAAAGAAAATCAGCTACGGTGGTCGAGGTCAGCCCCAAGGGCGTTGCTGCCTCGGCTGGATACACCCGCACTGCATTTGGGCCTGGGTAGATGCAGGGAAGATGAGGAAGGTCAATTTGAGCACGTGAAGCAGTCAACAAAGGGGGAACACGAATCTGCAAACTGAGTCTTCCGTGTGGTATGTGTAGGCATAAGTGTAGGCATGACTGGACGTGAGTATGTCTCACCTCTCCTGCGTTTAGTTTTGCTGAAAACCCGGCTGGAGCGCTTCGCTGTTGGCTTCACGGGCTTCGGCTTCAAAGGCTTCTGCTTTGCCTTGGCCTTCTTCGCGCGCAAGGCAACCGCCACCTCCAGGGCTGAAGACTGTTGAGGGCTTCGTTCCAAGGCAGGACATGGTCGGACATGGTACGACTGGTACGATGTTTATTGAATCATCTTGTCTGAGGGGCATCAATCAGGCTCTAGTGGTCTCGCCTATTCTGCTTAGCTCCATGATAGCCAAGAACAACCAAAACACCAAAAATGTTGTGAAAAAGGAGTGAGATGCGAGGTGACAGCAGCGGCAACAATGCTTTCCTCTACAAAACCCCAGCATGCTCAAGCCCACCTGCAGGGCTGCCAGCCACTCAGCTCCAAGACTGGACGGGCAAAGCCAAGGAGCTGCACAATAGTGGAACAAATCCCGATGGCTCACAGTAAACTTCTTGAGAAAGCTCCGGTCTAGGGAAAGGGGACTTTAATTCAGGTTTGGCTGAAAGAACAGCTTAATGTCCTATCCCCCCACTTGCAAATATATGACGGTATGACTTCTCTCATGACTTACCTATGCCAGTCTTCCTCATTCTGCTTCAACCTCTTCTCAAAATTCCAAACAGCCTCTCTCTGCGCCTCGTCCTTTTCAACGGTCTGCCCATACCCACAAAACTGCATGGCCCGTGAAGGCCGGGGTCGCGTCGGTCCAGCGCGGGTGGCACAGCCAGTGGCAAGGCCAGTGTGGGAGCCGTCCAGGTGAAAAGCTCCATGGCACCAGAGGTGGCACGAAGGTGGTAGTTCATAGGTGGGGGCGGTTCCACTGCATGAGGGAAGACATGGAAAATGCTAAGGAACTCTAAGCCTCACCAAGCCTCATGGGCTCCTTCCTGAAGGAACCAATCCTGCAAAAAGTGAGGACTAAGGGGATTACATAAAGCAAAATCCCTGAAGTTGCAGACTTTGACCCACATTGACTGCCCTACGAAAGCCTGAAAACCAACTGATGGAACTGTGTCTGTAGTTCCTATGTATATATATATATATGTATGTCATGTCTTTGAAATGGCAATGTCATGGGAGTGTCGGGCGACCACTGATCACGGACAAGGCTCCACTTGACCTTGTCGGAATCAGTTGGTGGTTCATCAAGCTCAAAGAAGGATTGAGTGAAGAGGGTGACTGCCACATATAGAAAAATGTACAGGCCCTTAAGGCAAGCGACAAGCATCCGTTCAAACATTTATAATTATGTGTTCAAGGCAGGGTGAACGGCACACCTGCCTGGTGCATCTCCTCGGTGTTCTTCACCACGAAGGCTGACAGGTCCTTCACGTACACACCGCCTTGGGGGTGGTCCTGGCCAAGGCATGCAGCACATGCAGCAAATGCAGCATCCCTCCACTCCAAAAGACCTGATGAAAAAAACAGAAACATTACTCATCAAAACGAGTGACACCGTGGGTCCCCTGCAACAGCACGTGACACCTGTGGGCCAGTCGAATACCCTTTTAGTTTTTCTGCTTTCTGGATCCCCGGATACCAACAGAACCTCATGTCACCAAGCATCTTAGCAACTACCGGAGGCTCAAGGAAGTTTAGCAAAATGCACGCCGACCACACACAACTTGCGCTCCAATCCTAAGGGGGGTATAGGAGGGTAGAATGTACACAAACACTGTAACAAAGAAACATGCAAAACCCGCTGTAGTCATGTGGAAGAACCGAGGTCCAGGTGTGCTAGACACGTGACGCGGCGACGCGAATTAACGAACGAAAGTATGTGTTCAATTTGTGCATTCAAGAACTCAAGCAGGAATTGGCACTGCCTCAAGAGCAGCTTGGTTACGTATGCAGCACTTGCGAACCCTTTGATACAGATTATGTCGAGCCTCAAAGGGAATATCCATCTGCCGCGAAAACCTCTGTAATTTTGGCTTCGTCAAAATTTGGCTGAAAAGGCACCCGCATGTTCAACGGATATGGCCTTCCTGGTTGCGATGAATAGTGAGAGATCATTCTTAGAGCCGATTCTTTTTGTGGCAGGTTTGGACGAGACGCAAGACCCCCAACAAGGTTCCTGTGATAGCCAAGACGAACGAGCGAGGCTCCTGTTTTCTTATACCTGGGATAGAGTTGTTGGCCTGTGGTGCCTCTTAACCACTGCTGGAAAGTTGTTTGCTTGACGCCCACAAACTACGGACCTCAGGTTTCTGTAACGCCACTTCGGATGGACTAAGATCAAAAGGTTGTGCTGGACCCTTTTTGTTGTCTGCAGCCAAACTGTGCTCTGCCTGCATATAATGTAAAATGTATGATGAGCTCGTTCCGTGTAATCCTATGGTTGTGTCTTACCAAAGGGAAATCGGCATTAGAACAATTTCCACGCACAGTGTGCTAGTGTCGCCCCCGCAGGGCACACTTGAGCGATTACAGGTAGAAGTACCCCAGAAAAAATCCACAAAGGTCTGTCTCAACGCCATGAGAGTAAAGCATCTTGAGTCGAAGCAACCTCGTCAACGCCTCCCTGCATATTTTCTGCTGCGTCATTGTGTTCCTTTTCTAGCTTTATGTAAACTGGACTGTAAGGCATTCAACTCTACCAAATAGCCATACACTAAATGCAAAGCATGTTGTTGTCGAGCACAATGTATACTGATTGCCGTGATTGCCGAAGTTATTTCTCCCATGAGTGGTAAGTCTTGACGATGGATAATAAGCCGTCTCGACGGCCACTGCATTTCCTGAAATGTCATACGAATCATGTGGATCTGTAGCTTCATTAAGGGGTCTATGACTATGATATATGTGACTAGACGTTTATTGCACGAGGTCATAGTGTGCCAAATTATATGTGTGAGGATCAACCGTTTGATTGGCAATTGAGTCCACCACTTTAATGACAAAGCAGGAATCTGTATGGGTGGCTACCAGCGGACGAAGGATTTGGCGGGAGAAGAAATCTGATACAGTATCCAGGCAACCGGTTCATGTTCACCTCTATTGATGGGATTCAAGAGATTTGTTTGCGCCAAGCGCAATAGAGAATTTGCTGTGGGTGAACCGAAGTAATCGGGAACCAAGCAAATGTTGATGTTCCTGCAACATAGAGATAGCCTCCACAGGGCGAGCACGGACATGTTGAAAAAGGGAGTCGGTGGAGATGGGTGTCAATCTGTCCACAAAATTCGCACTCCATAGATTGTGTGCTATCCCAAATTGCTTTAACTGATGTTTGGCAGCCGCCCGTGATGTTATATAAGAGAAGAGAAATGAGAGTGTTTGTTCACGAGGAGATAACATAGCTAGAACTTTCATCTGTGTATATGCCTCGAAAGGCGCTGGAGTAACACCCTTTTGATGACAAACTTGGACATCCACAAAGGACGACCAGGCCAAACGACATACAAATCGAATTTCTTTGGTGGATTGTGTTCAAACATTAATTTGACCATCAAAGGGCCACCTGGAGAGTTCAAGTTTCATGTGGCCCGTTTCACTCCTTGAGTTCGCAACGCTGCTTAGGGTTTTTGGCCAACAAGTCTCTGATCTCCTGCGTCAGGCAAAGGCTCTCAAATGTTCAACTCGCCAACAAGGTCTCAAAACTGGCCCTCAGTGGTGTTCAACCCCACCTCATTGTAAATCTCCAAGTAGGAACCACGAACCAAGTACCTGCGCTGCATTCTTGCTTCGACATCGATCAGAATGCTGTATGAAACCTTAGATGCAAAATAACAATCTTGCAGCGAAGCAAATGCAGCCCCTCATGGCCGCCGCCAATGTCAAGGGCACTTGGTGTCTTGAGAAGTGGTGTCCTTGGCCCCACGGCAGAATCATGTGTCGGTGTTGTCGGTAAGGTTGATCAATTTAACTTGATTTTGATTCTGATGCGTGGTTGATGAGCATAATTGAAGTTTCCTGGTACAAGCACATGCATGTTAGTTCGTCGTATCACTCCCCTTCACTTTCCTGCACAACAATATGCCGCATGGACATGCTGGAGGATCTGGTGTTGCAAACAGCCACACGGACATGTGTGGCCCTAAAGTTATACAATTACAGCACAACCTTACCATGTGAGCACGCTGCCAGCTCCAGTTCCTCCAAACTATTTGATCTAGCCCTGGGGGTGCCGGCAATGTTGTTGAAGATGTGGTTAAAAGAGCGCGGCAGTAAGCCTGCTGATCGTGGCAATCACACTGTGTCTGCAAAGCTCACAAATCTAGCTGGGTGTGTATTAGAATAGGGAGACCTCCCAAAGACCCCTAGGAAGAAGTAAAAAACAACATTGGTTGGGGTCTCCCTATTAAAACATACATACATTTCATCCTTCCATTACATTCCTTTACATTATATACATTACATTACATTACATTCCATTCCATTACATTATATACATCACATTACATTACATTACATTGCAATTACAATTACAATTACAATTACATACATAATACAAACCATCACCAAAAAAATACGTACACAAAATAACCTACATACATACATGCATACATACATTACATTACATTACATTACGTTACATTACACATCACATTACATTACATTACATTACATTACATTACATACATACGCACATACATACATATGTATGATACATATATACATAGAGATAGAGACATATTTTTATTGCAAAGCACCTATTGAGCCACGCCTTGCTGAGCAAACAGTAGCCATAGCCTCCAACCTACCATAGCGATGACCTACAACCGAATAGCGATTGCCTCCAACCTAGTAGCGATGCCCCCCACCTAGAAGCGATGTCCAACCTAATAGCAATGATTGACGATTGACAAAGTGTTGTTTCTCCGTTGGCGCTGCGGACAGCCTTGGAGCTCAGGCGGTCCGTCCGTGGGGCCAGTCATGGTGTGTGACTTGCCGGCACCTGCAGCATTGCCAATCACTGAACCAGGAGGGATTTGGGAGAACACCGCAAAGCAAACAATGTCCGCTTCCAGCGCCCTTGTCTCTCCATTTCTTGTAAATTGACTTTTCCGAATCCAGAGGCTTCGTTTTTGGGTTTCCGGTGTCGTTTTCGAAGGAATGTGCAAAATCTCACTCCAAAATTGACCATTCTGTATAAAAACTGCATGCTAGGTTTTTGCTTGTGGCTCATATGGGTAGGAGGAAGATGGGCCAATGTGTTGATCATTCAATAAAGGAGTGCCCTTCCACGACTTTTGTCTAGCAGTTGCATCCATGCCTGTCTGCCCATAGGCAAAAATAGTGCCATTGAAGCCTGAGGCAGCACCACAAAAGCTGCTTGCAAATCGACTAAATGATGAATTTGGTCAAAGTTATATTCGAAAACTAAACGGTGTTCTTCGGAAACTAATCCTTCGGCAACTAAAAGGTGATCTTCGGAAACTTTACGGCTTCCTTCCTTCCGAGGAAACTATACAGTATTCTTCGGAAGAAACACTTTCCGCAGCATGCAAAATACGTTTCCTGAAGTTCGCGAAATGTTTTCTGGAGAATGCTATAGGCATGTAAAGTAGCCGTCGCAGGGTGCGTCCATAAGCCCACCCACCCATCCCCTACCCCCGTGCTCCATTCATGCAATCTGGATGCAGTGTGGAAGTTGTTGAAGAATACTTTCTGAAGAATGCAAAACAAGAAAAAAAACTTTCTGAAGATCGCGAAATAGTTTCTCAAGATCGCAAAGTAGTTTCTGAAGATTGTGAAATAGTTTCTCAAGATTGCGAAATAGTTTCTGAAGATCGCGAAATAGTTTCTGAAGAGTAGTTGCGGAAGAGTACCAAATAGTTGCAGAAGAAAAGTTTCAGAAGAATGAAGAGTTGCGGAATAGGACTTTGTTCGATAAATTTCTGGGCCCTGGATTCATGAATAGATAGCGGACGTTCCCTCTCCATCACTCGTCACTGAGGGCTGTTCCATCCATGACGCTGTCCAAGATATCAGCCGCTGTGTCGTCAAAGATCTCAATTCAAGAGCCAAAAGAAAAACTGCCAAAGAAAAGTCTAAGGGCAGAACACAGCTTGTACAGCTTCTCACTGTCTTACCGCATCATTCCCAGACTCTAAGGTAGGGCTTGCTGGACACTCACTTACAATTACACAACCAAACTACAAGAAACTGCGACAAATGCCACACCTGCTGCTGTGACATGTTTGCGTCAAAAACGGCATCAAAGGTAAAGTCCTGCAGCAGTTTGAATTATTCTAGTCTTCAGATTGGAAACTCAAAAGTTACCAATGACCCAAAGTTACAATCCTGACCTATCTTGGGAACATCTCGGAAAGTCTCATTGTGCACTGATGATCCCGTGCGCTCCTTGGCGTCGCGTTCAGAGCCCCCAGGCCGGGTGAGGATGGCCACATGGCGTTTCACGTCCTGCGAAATCGATGGGAAAATGGGGGAAACTGCTAGTAACAAGAAGCTACTAGGGTTCCTGGCATCGCTACTAGGAGCAAGGATGCTACTAGGGGCTCCTGGCCTTACTACTAGGAGCAAGGACGCTACTAGGGGCTCCTGGCATCATCTGTTTCGCTTCGACTGACTCACTGCTAGCATGTATCTATTTCCAGGAAACCCGTACCAATCGATAGTTGATTGAGAGATCCCATCAACCAAAGCCTGGCTGCAATTCCTTGTCACTTAAAGAACCTCTGGTTGGCTACAAATGCCAAAAGCGTCTCTTTCATGGGATGATGTTCCGCCACCATACTCCTAATCTGCGTCCCTTCAAGACAGGTCTGGACTCTGGCAATGTGCATCCACATCCTTTTCCAACCAATATGTGTGCTTCTTGTCTGCACTGTCTGCACTCAGAAGCGGGAGAGCTTCTTGAGAACTTTTCGCAGCCTCAAGTAGACAAAAAAAAGTAAGGTCCGTGTCTTCATGTTCATTTTGTTTCATCACCATCATCGTGCACTGTCATCATTGTCATGTCGGCTCCAGATTTCTCAGCAGAACACTTGGCGTTTCTTTAATCTATTGCCAAACTAGGCACACACTGCGCGGTCGTGGCCATGTAGCAACACCTGGACCACATCGGTTTGGAAAGCTAGCTCGACACCACTCACAGGAATCCAAAGCTTCTTGTAGTTTACCATGGTTCTTCATTCGAGAGACAGAACTTGACATCCTCTGAAATGCAAGATAAAATATGTTTTTATTATTAGTTTATTTATTTATATTTCTTGCGACAGGTGCTGAAAGGCTTCTTTGTTGCTTGATACCATATTGAACCCTTTCACGAACACTGGGGAGCACACAAACAGGCACGTCCTGAAGCCACGGGTCTTTGCAGCGTCAAGAAGACTGCGCCCAGACTTCCAAACGATGGTATGTACCCCATTTATGACACAAAAAATAATAGCTATTTCAAAAGTGCTGCGCTGGTCAGCTGCACAGGTCTTACATTTCTCAATTTTCTGGGAGTGCCCAAGTGACCAAAACATTCAGTATGGTCTTTTGGCCAATGGAAATCACAACAAACGGAATTACAGCTTGGTGCCTTACTCTAGAGCAGGATGGCTTGAAAATCATGAAATAAGTATCCATGACTTATCCCTGCTCTCCTCTGGTTGCTCCACCCAAAGCTTGAAGGGAATGCCTGCCTCAGTCAGAAAAGCCCAATTTTACCGGCGCTGCAAAACAGTTGGGGCTAGTTGTCCCAAATGAACCCAACTGGAGCCCTATGAAACAGTTGTTGGGCCAAGAACTTGCACGTATTTAGTCTGAAGTCGTCTCAATCGTGCCAAAGGCGAAAACTGAGTATGGCCTCATTAAGACGCTGGGTGGCGCCCTCCAGTTCGGCCTCGCGAAGGCAAAGCTTGCATATGCCAATTGTATGTGCAGACTAGTTCTGCGGGGTCTCAGTGTGAGCTCGGCCTGGCTCTTTGCACCCATCGTCGATTTCACCATGGTTCCTTCAGCACCCTGGCAAGGTGCGAAGGCATGCTGAGGCTGTAGGCGTCAGGATATTTTTTTACCTCAGCCTGTTTCCATTGCGGTTGGGGGTCCCAGGTTCTCAGAAAAGAACTTGCGCATCTGCACTGCAAAGCCCTGGCCTGGGAAAAGTAAGCAATCGCTTCCTCATCATCTCTAGCTTCCCAAGCCTTGAAGGGTAACATATCGTGCACTGCAAGCCTTGTCGCGTCGCACACATGCCAGGGCCCTGGCCATGGCACTGCATGCGTGACACGCCTGATTGATCAAGGCCTCGGTCCCAGGCCAATTGATGTGTAAATGTTCCGGTATGTGTGCATCACATTACTTTAGCAAGGAAAGGTTCCTCAGTTCGTGCTAGTCCTGTCTGGAATGACCGCTCGCAGTGAGACTCGTTTAGCGAAAGTGAAGCAAGTATCTATGCTACTCACTTCTCAACTAAGCCACCGTGCGCCTGTGGGCCAGTCTAGGTCCTGCAAAAGCCAAGTAAGCCCAGAAAGATTCCCAACTAGTGAAGGAGTTGATCGTTGCCAATTTGTCACAGTGACTCGTTAAACTCGTCTGGACAAACAACCTGGCCATTTCTTCGCTGTTCCTTGACAATCAGTGAATTCTTAAAGAAGTGCATGCGATATTTGTGGAGGTTGCTCCAGAATTTGGGGCTGAGGTGGCTGAGGTGTTTTCCCTTGCCATGAAGACAGGGAAATCAGGAAAACCCACGGTACTGCTGACTTCACAGAATTGGTTTACAGGAAACCCATATGGGAGTTTGAGGGGTGAAGACTATGGTTTCCTGTAGATTGTCCGATAAACCAATCCAATGATGACTTGTGTTGGCTCAGGAGCTAAGGCACGCAAAGCCGTAAAGCTATGCTCGTGAGCCGTAAAGCTATGCACGAGCCTCCCAATTTGTGTGGCCGAATTGCTGCCTTCGCTATAGGCCTGGAGCCTACAAAGAGTGTGCAATCGCAATAACAAAGAGTCCTTCATTGCCCAAACAAGAGTGTATTCACTAAAACAGCACCGCTCGAGCCCCAATAAAGATTGTTTAAAATGTCCTATCTTCCAAAACAGTTCTCCGCAAGCGAGAGCCTATTTTCCCCTTTGCAAAGGCTAGTTTAGCCAACTTCCCTCCCTAGTTTATACAAGTTCAGCGACATGCTCCTTGCGCAAGACCACAAAGACGGCAAGGGGGTCCTCGGGGTTCTGTTTTGCCTCAGGAAAGCAGTAGGTGGAGGATGATTTTCTTGAAAACCTTAGGCCTCATCTTTCGCTTATACAAACTCCAAGCAGACATGTGTCCACCCTTCTTTTGCCCTCAACAATGACAAGGGAAAAGCAAAAGCAAAGGTGTCTTTACATATACGGAAATATATCAGGTCCGATCACCCACAGGACTTAGATCTAAAGTCTGAGAAGACTTGGTGTTTCATGCTCAAAATTTGGTTCATGTTACCTGTTGCCAACTTGAAAAACTACAAACTACATCTGTATAATTTTTAACCAAATCTCCAGCTGATTCATGCTCTTGTGAAGCCTTATATATGTCCGAAGTGAGAAGCTGAATATAATGAGGCACTGTGGCGCCTGTCACGCTATTAGGTTAGAGGCCTTCGCTATTAGGTTGGAGGACTTCACTAGTACGTTGGAGGCCATCGCTATTATTGGATTGGAGGCCATCGCCATTATTAGGTTGATGGCCATCACTATTATTAAGTTGGAGGCCATCGCTATTATTAGGCTGGAGGCCATCGCTATTAGGT